GAAGAGAAATGGATGCTTAGAAAATTGACTATTCTTAGTACTTAGAAACACAATGGTGTGGTAGAGATAATGAATTAAGTATTGTTATGTTAGGTGGATGATGACGCAATATGTTTCCCAATTGGGAATTGCACTTCAGTTTGCTGCCTATGTCCATAACTAAAAATAAATAACAAAATCTTTCATAATTTTGAGGATAAATTATAAATGAGTTCATATGATCAAGAATAATTACCAATATGTGAAGGGGTTGTTTGGGATGTCCTAAATAAGTTTACTTTTTGACTTTTTGGACTAAAAAGTTGAGGAAAAAAATATGGTTGTTTGGGTTAACTTTTTGATTTTACGGAAAAATGTGTATTAAAAAAATTGTAAAAATTAGTTTGTAGGGAAAAATTAGGATTGAAAGTTGTGCAGCCGTACTTTTTGACTTTTGGTGAATAGTGATAACTTTTTAACTTTTTGACTTTTTGGTTTGTTAGCTTCATGCTAAACTTGGCCTAAGTGCCTTCCATATAAGATTTTACAGTCTATTTGAGTAAGGGGTTAGCGGAGCCATCTATGGGCGATCTGTAACCATTAAGTAGCTTATATTTATTTTACTTCTCATAAGGTTGCGAAGTTAAGACCTAGGGTTCTATGGCGCATTATTGTATACTGTCTTGTAACAGCTTAGGGTCGTGTGGCGCATTATTGTATGCAGTCATGTAAACTCTCTGGGTCATATGCTTTTAGGTAAGAAGCTTTATGGGAGTGTAACTAAGTCACATAAAGTTTTCTTAGTAAATGTGACGTGAATAGAGTTTTGGAACTCTATAAGACAGAGAATTCTAAGTATAGCGCTGTATGTAGCCAAGTAGAGAATAAAAGGAAATTTTCAATAACCTAGGGACAGTGGGAGCGATATGCCTACTAGTGGATTATTCCATTAGAGAAGAATACTCTACATTCTTAGTTGCGTGGTAGCGAATGTGAAATTTTTTCACTTCATCACTGGGCGATTGAGAGGGAAACATTCGTGATTGCTTCGCAAGATGATGAAGAGCCTAGGATGATGCCAAAGGCTCTAGTCTCCTGTTTTTAGAAAGTGGATCAATGTTGCGCATTTTAAGAGAAAGTTTTTGAGGATTAACCATTTCTAGAATTTGGTTGACTTTTCGCTATGACGCGAAATTGTTCTAAACTTATGCGTGATTTGAATAGTTATTTTTTGAGGCATAAGGCTCGCTAGATACTGAAAAGTCGCACCGTTGAGGAAGGTGTAGATCATGAGAAGACTTCCTTCAGGATAGTGAGGTTACTTTGACTTAGGCCATGATTGACATGAGTTCAGAACTTTACGTTGTGGACAATTTTGAATTTTGAATTTTAAAATTCAAAATAATATGATAAGTTACCCTCACTCTTTTAAAAAATAATGTTGATCAAAATAATTCAAATAATAAAAATAAAGACACTAATTATCTATAATTTTGAATTTCAAAATGCAAAATAATATGGTAAGCCACCTTTATCACACTCTCACCTTTTTTGAAAATAATATAAATCTAAAATTTTAAAAACCCAATCAAATTAAAAATTCAATATAATTCTCTCTTTAAAATACTAAATATTTGATCTTTTTTCCAGCCCAGCCAACTCCTCCCCGAATGTAATGATGTAATGATTATTCTCTCTTTTTGCTAAAAGTCCAAACTTATTTCAAGTTTCTTTGTTTGTAATTTTTTTTTTTTTTTTGTAAATTTATATTTTTGTGCGAGCATTTTTTTTCTCTATATGAATATTTTTTTTCCAACTAAATTGATAATAAATATATATCTGTTAATTATCTTTGTTTTGAGAGTTGATTTGAATTTTTTTTTTTTGTGAATGTTTGTGTATTTTTTATATTGTTGTTATTATTTCTTTTGATATATGTGAATTGATAATATAGTTATGAGTTTTTTATTTTATTTTTTATAGAATAATGCGTCTTATATTGTTCTTTATGACTTTGTCATTTTTTAAATTTCTTTAAAAAAATCAAATTTTTTATTTGTAAAAAATTAAAAACATTTAATTGACTTGTCCATCAATAAATAAAATTTTAAATAACAAACACTATACCATAATTTATGGATTTAAAAAAAAAAAATTAACACCTATATATGGAATAAGAAAACCTAAAATCAGGCATTTTTTTATTTTTCATTTTTAACTCTTTAAAACTCTAATGGTATCTTTTTATTTCCTCAACATTGTCTTTTTAAAAAAAAAAAAAAAAAAAAAAAAAAACTAGATCGGAATTGCATAATGGTTAGTGGAGGTGGTAACCATGACAACAACAACGGTGATGATGAGCTCGGCCAGAGCATTGTTTGGGTAGATTTTGAAAAGGTGAATATTAAAAGAATAGTAGATAGTTTGGGTGATGAATTGATTTATAAAACTAATGTGTAGTTGAGATTAAGTGTAAATTTTAACATATAAAAATTGAATATGAATCATATTTATATATAATTTTGACTACTTTTGTATAACTATAAAAAAATTATTGTGATCACATGTTACTTATTATTTGATATGTTATTGTTATATTATCATAATGAATTTTATTATTAATATCTATTATCAATGCAGTGTTGAGACGTTACATGATAAATAAAAATATGTTTTTGTTATTATTATTATTGATAATATATTTCTTTATTTACCTTTTTACAATGTTCAAAAAATTAATTTATGTTTATTATTAGTTTTTGTAAATAAGATGTCAAAAATAAATTTTAACCAAATTCAAGTTATAACCAATTTGAGATTGAAAAGGAAATTTCAAAAGAAATTATAATTATATATAATTTTAAAATATTTTTAAAAAAATACAAGGAAAAATTGAAACTACAAATTAAAATTATCAAACAACCTAATTCTATGAAAAAATTTAAATGAAAGATTGATCAAATTTGAATTTATAATTATTAAATATTTTCAATAAGCCATTAATTTTTTATTTAGGTTCTAGCCTGATCTGGTCTTAAATAGTTTTTCAGATATAAATGTATCTTAATATTGGTACAATCAATATTAGACATATTTTATGAAAAAAATGGATGGTAAAAAATAAACGGTTGACAAAAATCTGATTTGATCACATAGCTATCGATATCCGATCAATGTGATTTTTTACAGATATATAATACTCGACGAGTGTTACACATTAACGGTTCGGATTATCGAAGCGGAACCCGTGGTGGGTTCCCACAGACCCAACAGTACCCTCTAGTCCGATCATGGACGGGAGGGAAGCCATTCCTATAAGCGCTAAATTGCATTCAGCTTGAGCTAAAAAACTGTTTTGAAATTTACTGGGAACAAAAAAACTTTTGTCAATAATTATTTTAAGTGAATTAAGTAACAAAGTATTAATACTATATTTATTTCGATCGACCGAATAAAAAAATATATTAATCTTAAAATTAACAATTATTTTAAATTGTGTATCCAATGACATGTTTAGATTGACACCAATACACAAACAAATATAATTTATTTTAGATATGCAAGATATCATTATACTATTAATCTTATCATTCAATCTCAGTCCAATTATAACTTCACCTAAGTAAATTCTGCCATCAAACCTGGCCAAAAATGTCTCTTGTGCTCTTATTTTTGTTTTTTATATGATTTGTTAGAAATATTTATTTAATTAATATGCTAATGTGATATAATTTATTAGAGAAGCATGTACAGAAGCATCCAAATTGGTGTAAAATTGTGGGGGAGGTAAGGTTGAGCAATTGTCCAGACTGTTTCTTAAGTAGGTAAGATATGTCCATCATCAAAGATGGCTGTTTTTTAATAGTAAATTTTTGTTGAAAAAAAGATTAATTAATTAGGTAAAATATATTATATCTTTATTATGAAAAATATTCCATAGATCAAGTGTTTTTTGAATTTTAAATCCCTAAATTATGGGAGAATTCAATAGATTCTTTATTGATTATAATTTTAAATTTTAATTTTTAGTAGTCAATTAATTTTTTTTTTAAAATAAAAAATCAACATAATTAGATTGGGGTTGTAAAGCTTTTAAAACTCTCATAGTTAAAAATTATCTTTTACATCAAGTCTGAACCCAGCACTATTAATGATGAATCCCAAGTAACCTTCAAATTTGCATAAGGCAGAGCCAGTCTTCTGATCCAAGACATTAATCTCATTGCAATCACATCATATATTATACTCTCACCACATCATATATTATACTTTCACCGTGTGTATGCTTTTTTTTTTCCCGTGTGTGTGTCTCAAACTTTTTACACTATTTGTTTTTTTTTTTTTTTTAATTTATAGTTAAACATCTAACATATAAATCAAAGTTTTAATATCAAAATTAAAAAGAGAATAACTTGTCTGAAAAATTATATAATTCCTGCTTTTTCTTTTTTGATTGTCTAAAACATGATGCAAAAGAGAGCAAAACCATGACTCATGGATAAAGGATGTTGGAAATATATTACTTGATGATTTTCGAAGTTGAAAGAAGAATAATAAAGGCTGCAATAAATTCTAGCAGTTGCAAAAAAAAAAAAAAAATTACCTTGTCGTACCCGTGCTATACTCATGCCATACCCACAATGTACCCAAACGTATTTGCCGTACCCAGTATGTATTTTCCATATCCGGTATACGTATAGCCATACTAGTACACGTCCTCGCATCTAGTAAGTATCGAGTACTTGTACGGCACCATTTTTGGAGTACCCGTGCTTCATAGTTTGAGGCATATAATTTTTTGTCTTCTTTTTGGGGTGCAGTTTTATCTCCTTTCAAGGAGATCCCTTTGTTTTGATTTCTAGAGATTGTGGAGTGGTGTGTGATGTGTGATTTCGATTCTCCTTTTCTTTCTTTTTGGGTGTTATGTATAATTTTGTATCTTTTTGTACTTTTTTATTTTGTAATATTTCTTTTTTGTTGCTGATAAAAAAATATAAAATAAAATAAATAAATAAAAAGATGACCTCACTATTTGATCCAATCGTAGTGGTAGTGGTATGAGTAATTAGGTTTTATCCAACCGTACTGTTGTAGAATTGAGTATCCATTACTGAGTAGAATCCTTTAAAAAGTATTGGGGTTCCATATGTTTGGTTGTGTTAAAACTTTTGCACTTGGTGGAGAAACTGAAAAAAGTGGAGAGAACTTAAAAACTCCTTGGTGTTTTATTTTTATCCCAGTTTGCTTCCTTTTTATATGCCATCTTTATGATGCTTTCCCTCCAAACTACTATCACACTTCAAACGCCAACAAACTTATTTTGCCTTGCAGGAAAAGGCATGAAAAATCTGCTTTGCCTGGTGGTCATCTAGAGAAAGTAGCAGCGTAATGCCCTCCCAAGGTACATGTACTAATATTGCACCCTGAATTCAAATGTTGGCTATACCTTCTCCTGTTAGTGAGATGATTGATAAGCTTTCTATAACTATTGATGTGATTGCTAGCTATGCTGCAATAAGAACCCTTATCAAAAGCCATGCAAGAGAGACCAAAGAGTGTTTTTTTGGATTTCTTCTATATTATCATATCTCTTGCTGATTAGAATCTCTTTCACTTTTACATGAATTCTCATGTGTGCGTGTGTGAGAGTTAATATGTTAAATCAAGAACAAGATGTAATGATAAAATTGGATAATTAGTGAGGGATTTTTATCTATTGGAGAATTGTTTAGGTATAGAGTGTAATTCATTGGTTGGTCATTTCAAAATCAAGAGGTAAAACATGCCCAGGTACATGTTAAAATGGAATGAGTAATGTCACTTCAAAGCTTTATAATTTTGCTCTTGGAAATTCTATTATAATCCTCCAATTTGTCTTAGGGGCTAGCTTAATTTGCCTCATTATTTGTGCTATAGCATGTAGTATCGTGCTCAGTTAGATTTTTATTAACAATATGATAATTTGAGACTCCAGTATGTCTAGAAGTTGTTGGCATTCAAGGCATTCTTGAATTGAGTCAATGATCCAATGAGAAGGGAAAATTTGTCTCGGTTTGTTTCTTTGAGGATTTATGAGAAGAGGAACTAGTCAATAGATACATATGTTTTTTAGATCGTGGTATTTTTATAATTTTACTTAACAGAGTTTCTGGTGTCCTATGGAGTTTCTATTTACACCACACTTCTATCTCAATACATCCACCAAATTATGACTTTTTTTTATTACAAATATACCCTCAAGATAAATTACCTTGGACAAAATTTATTTCAATACAAAAGATGAAAACGCAGATGGAAACAGCCAAAGATAACGCAGATGGAAACAGCTATAGGGTAAGCCCACAACAGTGGCTGCAATGGTGATGACAATATTCATGGCTCATGGCTGTGTGCGGGTTGTGTGATGATAATATCAATAGCTCACCATTGTGCGTCAGTGTGTCTGTGAAGGAGAGGTGGAAAGAGACAGGAGGCAGCTCATAAAAGCAATAAAACCCTATCTGATTGGGGCAGCAAGCCCAAGTCCCATTCCCAGCCTAATAACTATGATTTTGTTATTTTTCCTCAGAAATTCAGTTTGGAAGAAATTTGAACTGTATTTCACCTAATAACTGTGTACTAAATCCAGATTAAACAAATTTGAGAACTGTACAAAGTGATTTGTGATTATAACTGTTTGCACCCATATTTGGAAATGGCAGTAATTGATGACACATGGCAGCAAAAGGGGTGTAAGGTGACAGGTGACACGTGGCAAGGCAGCAGAGATAGTGATGTTAGCATGAGAAATGAAGGAGGAAGCAGTGGTTATGGGCAGTTTAGGCATAGAGAATGGAAGGCCAAATGATATATGGCTAAAAAATGGGGGACATGGTTTCCCATGACTCGCAGAGTGGCTACAAAGCAGGAAAGCATGAGGATGAGGATGAGCCTGAGGCTGAAGGGACTATAAAAGGCAGTCGAAGGCAAGAGCAGAGGCATATCAACACACAACACATCAAACTAGCATAAGTAGTTTTAGGAATAGATTATATTAGTAGTTTTAGCCTTGTAATTTTCAGTTCATGCTTGTAAACTTTGAAGTTGTAATTGAAATTGTCCTTTGTTTACTTTTGTTCTGTCATTGTTCCAAAGATTTCCTTGTATGTTTCAAGGCATTGAACCTCAACATGATTGCCTGATTTCTTTTGATTGTTTGGTAAATGTTTTGTTAAGTCTCTGTCAATTAGGCCTAAATACAAATTTTACTAACAATAACACTTCTTGATATAGCCAGAGGCGGCAGCTTAATGTGGAGTGTAACCTATTTGGCTTTTCATAACGGGAGAGTAGTTTCTGATGTGTGGATGTAGGAAACACCTCATCATTTAATGGCTTGGCATTGATGACTTCGGATGTGTGGATGTAGGAAACACCTCATCATTTAATGGCTTGGCATTGATGACTTCGGATGTGTGGATGTAGGAAACACCTCATCATTTAATGGCTTGGCATTGATGACTTCGGATGTGTGGATGTAGGAAACACCTCATCATTTAATGGCTTGGCATTGATGACTTCGGATGTGTGGATGTAGGAAACACCTCATCATTTAATGGCTTGGCATTGATGACTTCGGATGTGTGGATGTAGGAAACACCTCATCATTTAATGGCTTGGCATTGATGACTTCGGATGTGTGGATGTAGGAAACACCTCATCATTTAATGGCTTGGCATTGATGACTTCGGATGTGTGGATGTAGGAAACACCTCATCATTTAATGGCTTGGCATTGATGACTTCGGATGTGTGGATGTAGGAAACACCTCATCATTTAATGGCTTGGCATTGATGACTTCGGATGTGTGGATGTAGGAAACACCTCATCATTTAATGGCTTGGCATTGATGACTTCGGATGTGTGGATGTAGGAAACACCTCATCATTTAATGGCTTGGCATTGATGACTTCGGATGTGTGGATGTAGGAAACACCTCATCATTTAATGGCTTGGCATTGATGACTTCGGATGTGTGGATGTAGGAAACACCTCATCATTTAATGGCTTGGCATTGATGACTTCGGATGTGTGGATGTAGGAAACACCTCATCATTTAATGGCTTGGCATTGATGACTTCGGATGTGTGGATGTAGGAAACACCTCATCATTTAATGGCTTGGCATTGATGACTTCGGATGTGTGGATGTAGGAAACACCTCATCATTTAATGGCTTGGCATTGATGACTTCGGATGTGTGGATGTAGGAAACACCTCATCATTTAATGGCTTGGCATTGATGACTTCGGAGAAGGATTTTTGTGTCTTTTGGTGGACATCATGAGATATGGCGGACCAGATATGTAGTTTGAAATTAAAGTCGGGTTTTGCATTGAAAATATTACAAAGTAGGATTTGGTTTGCTGTTAAAAGAAATGAAACTATTTATGAACCACCTTCATTGAATTGTTTTGGGTAAATTATACTGACACCACCTTCAAGTTTAGATTAATACAATCTTTGACATTTCAGAAGTTATACTGTTGTTTCTTGTCAATTGTTTGTGTTTTAACAGAAGGAAAGAGAAATATTGACATGACCTTAATGCTCTAAATTAAAATTTTGAAAATACCAAACTAATCTCCCTTTCTCTCTCACAAAATCAGCCACCCACCCACTCCACCACCTCCACCTCCACCATCACCATTACAGACCCACCACCACGACTACCATCTTCACCATATCTGATTCATCCAAAATAATTGAAACAACAGCCAGTTATATTTACAGAATATGGTTATGATTTAGCAGGATGGAGATGTATGGTAAGACGCTTGTGAACCAATCGAAAATACAAACAACATATCTTGGCTTTCTCATACAGCACAAATATCAAAGCAAATATTCATTGGGAGAGCATCCAAATCTTAATGTAATCTGGTAAATTTGACATTTTACCATGATTTTAGAGCAGGAAGCAAATCCCTGGACTTCAGTTTAATAATATGGAGTGGCCATGATGAGCTTGGCTCCCCTGCAACAGAAACCAAACAAAAGCAAATACTTTTATGCTGATTTTTGTTTAATGCCGGTATCATCAACTGCTGCCTGTGCAACAAGATTAAAGATAAATAACAACATTCTTGATATATGGTGGCTCACAGTGAGTGAGAGAGAGAGAGAGAGAGAGAGAGAGAGAGAGAGAGACAAAGGGCAGACAACAAGGGTGGAGGGAGGTATCAACTGATAGCCCCCACTGCTGTTCATAGCCACCACCGACAACCCACCATTTTCTTTAAAAAATAGGCTCATTAACTCCATGTAGGGGTAAAATTGACTTATTAAAATATTTAAATGCCCACATCAACAACAACCAATAGTTGCATAACATGGACAATTTATAATGCAATTACAAACCTCAAAGAGGAGGATGTAACTTTTAAACGGTCAAGGTGTAATTGACAGATGACCTATCTTTAAGAAAAACAAAAACAAAAAAAAAGGCAATCACATCGGCACAAAACTCAGGGTTGTCGGTGTAATTTACCCAACCGTTTTAGCTCTGAATCAGGCCGACAGGCAGCAGCTGATCTCTTTCTTGCTCAATAACCTTGACGTGTTTGCGTGGACTCCGTACGAAATGCCGGGAATAGATCTGTCAGTTTCACAGCACCATTTGAATGTCGATCCGAAATGTAAGCCGATCATTCAGAAAGGCCGACGGCCAGCCGCGGAGCACACTGCCGCCGTTGTTGAGGAGGTAGACAGACTGCTTGACGCCAGGGCAATTAGAGAAGTCACTTAACCTACGTGGCTCTCCAATACAGTGGTGGTGAAGAAGAAAAATGGGACTTGGCGAGTGTGCGTCGACTTCACAGATCTGAACAAAGCTTGCCCCAAAGACTGTTTTCCTCTACCTAGAATCGACCAGCTCGTCGATGCGATGACACGTCATCAACGCATGAGCTTCCTCGATGCTTACAGAGGCTACCATCAAATCGCCATGCATCCAGATGACCACGACAAAACTGTCTTCCTCACCCCAAGAGGAACCTATTGCTACAAAGTTATGCCCTTTGGGCTAAAGAATGCAGGGGCAACCTACCAAAGATTGGTCTCCGCCATGTTCAAAGAGCAACTCGGCCACACTATGGAAGTATACATCAACGATATGGTGGTCAAGTCCAAAGAAGAACAGAGTCATAGCCAATCTAGAAAAGACATTCAGCATCTTACGCAAATACAGAATGAAACTGAACACTTCCAAGTGTGCGTTTGGAATCGGCTCAGGCAAATTCCTGGATTACATCGTCAATCATCGAGGAATCGAAGCCAACCCAAGGCAAGTCACAGCAATCTTGGAACTCGGCTCCCCCCGCTCAGTAAAAGAAGTCCAAAAGTTGATGGGGATGGCCACTGCACTCAACAGGTTCATCAGCCGGTCTACAGATCGCTGCCGACAATTCTTTCAGACACTACGGCAGGGTAAGGCTTTTGAATGGTCCGCCGAATGCGAATCAGCCTTCAACGGACTCAAGACCTACCTTCGCTCAGTACCTCTCTTTGACAACACCCGCCGCTGGTGACCCGCTCATCCTATATCTAGCATTTTCCGATAGGGCCGTCAGCGTCGTACTGTTAAAAGAGGAGGAGGGGGAGCAACGGCCAATGTATTATGTGAGCAAGGCAATGGTTGATGCTGAAACACGCTACCTTCTGCTAGAAAAACTAATCTTACAATCGTGATATCCACGAAGGGCGCTCCGAATTCAGAGTCTTAATCGGCCTTAATAGGCTTAATCGGCCTTGAGGTGCCATGCACCAAAAGGGGCTCTGAATTCGGAGGCTTTATTTTGGCCAATCGTGATATCCACGAATGCCACTCCGAATCTGGAGTCTTAATCGGCCCTAGGGTGTCATGCACCAAATGGGGCTCTGAATACGGAGGCTTTATTTTGGCCAATAGTGATATCCACGAAGGGCGCTCCAAATCCGGAGTCTTAATCGGCTGTAAGGTGTCATGCAACGAAATGGGCTCCGAATCTAAAGGCTTTATTTGTTCCAGTCATGATATCCACGAAGGGCGCTCCGAATTCGGAGTCTTAATCGGCCTTAATTGGCTTAATCGGCCCTAAGGTGTCATGCACCAAAATGGGCTCCAAATCCGGAGGCTTTATTTTGGCCAATTGCAATATCCGCGAAGGGCGCTCCGAATCCGGAGTCTTAATCGGCCCTAAGGTGTCATGCACCGAAAGGGGCTCCAAATCTGGAGGCTTTATTTTGGCCAATCGTGATATCCCCGATGGGCCCTCCGAATCCGGAATCTTAATCGGCCTTAAGGTGTAATACACCAAAAGGGGCTTCGAATCCGGTGGCTTTATTTGGGTCAATCGTGATCTCCACGAAGGGCGCTCCGAATTCAGAGTCTTAATCGGCCTTAATAGGCTTAATCGGCCCTAAGGTGTCATGCACCAAAAGGGGCTCCGAATCCGGAGGCTTTATTTTGGCCAATTGTGATATCCACGAAGGGCGCTGCGAATCTAGAGTGTTAATCGGCCCTAAGGTGTCATGCACCAAAAGGGGCTCGGAATTCAGGGGCTTTATTTTGGCCAATCGTGATATCCACGAAGGGGGCTCCGAATCCAGAGTCTTAATCGACCCTAAGGTGTCATGCACCAAAAGGGGCACCGAATCCGAAGGCTTTATTTGGACCAATCGTGATAGCCACGAAGGGCGCACTGAATTCGGAGTCTTAATCGGCTTTAATCGGCTTAATCGGCCCTAAGGTTTCATGCAACAAAAAGGGCTCCGAATCTGGAGGCTTTATTTTTGCCAATCGTGATATCCCCGAAGGGCGCTCCGAATCCGGAGTCTTAATCGGTCCTAAGGTGTCATGCACCGAAATGGGCTCCGAATCCGAAGGCTTTATTTGTGCCAATCGTGATATCCATGATGGGCGCTTCGAAATTGGAGTCTTAATCGGCTTTAATAGGCTTAATCGGCCCTAAGGTGTCATGCACCAAAAGGGGCTCCGAATCCGGAGACTTTATATTGGCCAATCGTGATATCCGCAAAAGGCGCTCCAAATTCGGAGTCTTAATCGGCCCTAACGTGTCATGCATCGAAAGCGGCTCCGAATCCAGAGGCTTTATTTTGGCCAATCGTGATATCCCCGAAGGGCACTCCGAATACAGAGTCTTAATCGGCC